AATGTTGAGACCAGACCCATTATCTAGCAAGACATGGTTTATAATATTTTATCGACATATGACAATGACATACAAGGCTTTGTTGTGCATCCTTTCTTTGAAGGGCAAATTTTGATCACAGAAGCTGATCCGATGTCCTCGGATGACCCGGTTGATCAGGCCACTACATTGTCACTGTTGGTGCCCATGGGCAAATACATATCATCCAAAGCCTTCATCAAGGCATGCATATGTAGTTGTGAACTAATTAACAGGGTCCACATAGAAATCTAGGCTTGTTTTTTTCCAAATGCTTGACAATCAAATAATCCTTGGACTGCATCTTTCTCCAGAATTCATCAGCTTACTTATCAGCCTCTTTCCTTGGTATTTATTTTTCTCTCTATGGGACAACATTTCTGGAGTATAACACCTGTCAAACCTGGTCATACCCTAAGCTGAAGCGGTTTCGATCACAAACCTCGGCCTAGTGGGAGATTTTACTGGCACTAAGGCTACAGCCTTTGCAGGCGTCAAAATTACGAACTTCTTTTTCTCGTTGATACTTAGCTAAGACACTGCTCTTTCCAGGCCGTCATGAACAATCGGGACTATCGCCTTTCTCATGCACCAATCATCATCCGTCTCTATCATGTTGATATTGATTCCTCCATGATTCAAAAAAGGATTGGTGTTAACATTAGGCGCGACTTTTTGAAGTGAAACCAAATCTTGGTCGATAATAACTTGAATCTTGTGTTTGAGGCTGATACAGTTCTCAGTACCGTCTCTAACGCTATTGGAGTGATATGCACACCTTTGATTGGGTCTATCGAATTTGGAACTAGTATCCACTAGCTTGGGCCCCACAAGGTGAACGTATCCAGCCGTCGCCAGTCGCTCGTACAACTTTGTTTGACTTTCAACGAGCACGTAAAGTTTCTGGTGGGGCTTCTCGAATATGGGTCGAGGGGATCACAATTGACTTGTTGGGGAGGAGGAATTTGTTTATGATTTTGGGTATTTGGACGGGGAGTTTGGTTTCTTCGATAAGGATTTGTTTGATAATTTGAGAATGCCACTTGTTAATTCGGAGGGGTATTTTGGTAGAGTGGAGCTTGGACTTGATATACTGGGTGGGGGGTGCTCTATAGTTTGATGACATTGGCACAGTTAGGAGTAACATTTTTGTAAACGAGGGATGAAAGTTGGTAAAGTGGAGGAGAATTTTTGTAAACGAGAGATGGATTTTGGTAACTCGGAGGGGGGCATTTTGGTATGTGGAGGTAGCATTTTGGTAGATGGGAGGAGGAGTATTTGGATAACCAGCTTACGTATAGCATGCCTAGTAAGAATTCTGGGAACGTCGAGCACGACCTTGTTAGGATGATGATCTTCTGGGGGTCTTCCTCCCCTCGTAAGAGACAACAAAAACATCTTCTCTTTTTTTTTCAACAAATATCATGATCTGGACGATGCAACAACACGAGCAATGTTCCCGATTTTCAACCCATCCTCGATAGTCTAACTTACCTTGACTATATCAGCAAATTTTGATCCAATGAGCAACAAGATTCTATCATAGTATTCGGGCTCTTGTACCCACACAAACATTTCAAATATTTCTTTTTCAGACATAGGAGGTTGTACTCTAGCTGCTTCCTTGTGCCACCTGTACGAAAACTCTCTGTAACTTTCGTTGAATTTTTGTTTCATCTTTTCTAAGGAATAACGATTAGGGATGATCTCTACATTGCAGGCAAACCGATTGATGAAGTCCTTAGCTAGAGCATTCCAGTTGAGGCACTGCCTGGTCTTAGAGATGTAAATTATTCCAAAGCTTCCCCGCTCAAACTTCAGCTAAAAAGCCGCACTAGCATAGTTTCATCCCTCCCAACTCCTACGCGTTGGTCACCGAAAGACCTCAGGTGCGCTAAGGGATTTCCTGTTACTCCATGTCAAACTTTGGCATCTTAAACCCTTTAGGGAGGTATAGATTCGGATGAATGCATAAGTCTTCGTAGTTCAAACCAGTGGCGTCAGGTATGCACTAAAGTTCCCTTCATTTCTCTTCGGATCTCCTCCTTTATGTCTATTTTCGCGGAGTTTTCTTTTGACCTCTACTCTCTTTCTGACTTCTCATAATTGTCGAGCTCAAAATTGTTCACGTCATGTTCATTTTGAACAGGAATTCAGAAAGTAGCTTTTCTAGGTAAGGGTGGAGCTACAGAGGGACTTGGGGAGTTTTGAGTAGCTTGGTAATTTTGTGGGAAGGTTTGTGGGTTAGTGTGTTGATTTTGATGTTGGAAAGGTGATTAGGAATGAAGTGCATTTTTGTTTTGTGGGAGTGAAGCGGTTTGGTGATGGGAACTTTGAGAGGGAGGTGGTATTTGGGAATATTATTTTGATGAGGGGGTGGGGTTTGGTATGAGGCGGATGCGTATTGAGGATTTTGTATAGTCACGTTTATTACTGAGGATTTTGAGCAGGAGTAGACGACGAAATCTGAGTCGGATACATGTTTAAAGAGGGTAAGTATAGAGGAGACCTTCCATCAGTAGTAGCATTGGTAGTAAAATCTGGTGGAGGCATGATAATCCTGTCTCCTTTGTATTTCAAGTTTCATCTCAGCAATTTGTTGCATCAGTTGCATAATCAGTTCATTATGATCCGCTATGGTGGGTTGAGCCACCACAACATTAGTAAGACTGATTTATTCATTGTTGTCCCCCATTACTGCTTTTTCCTTATCTGAACTTTGGTCGGGAAAGGAATCTGTGATCCCTTTAGATCTAGTGAAGTACGGATTATCATCCTATTAAATCAACACAAACAAGTACGTAAGTACTTGTAAAGGAAAATAACTCAAAGGAAAATTTGTTAGTTTGAGTTCAAAATACATAATGCAAGATATCACACAAAGAACAAATAACCCACATAAATTGTTTCGTTTGAGGACATGCTAACCACGAGTAAAGGGGAAATTGATTTTTTGAATAAGCAGGAATTTGCTTGTTTTAATTTGGAGGATGTCTCAGAAAAAGTTAAATTACGTTGAACTACGGTCTTCTTGCTGCATCTATTTGACGTCTGTTGGTTTGAGCCTCACATTTCCTTGTATAATAAAAATGGGAGAATGAAAATTTTGAAATATAGGGCTGAGCCTTGAAACTCTGCCTACGTATCTCACAAGGAAAATTCAGGCCCTATCAGTTCAAGTAAAGGAAATACTTGTTTTTTATTCATTTATTTTTAACGATTACAAGGAAATGGAAAATAAACAAGGTTTTAAAAGATAAAGGTAGCCTCATATCAGTCGTTCTTCTTATTTCTATTTCATCAGCCACCAAGAACATATTCGACTCAAATCTTTCCTATGCTGAAAGGCATTCCATGTTGTGGTGGAATGCAAGACATTTTTCAATGGGATAGGGGCAAAGTTTTTTAACTTCGAACCAAAGGGAATATAACACATCCACGTCCTTATAGAAAGGGGTGAAGACTCCATTTCGAACCAATTCATAATAGACCTCCAACATTGTTTTCTTGAAAGGTGTGAATAAGCAACGTAGAATATAGTCTTCTTAGTGACTGATATGTCGAGCCGCGGTTCATCACATGTGATGATGATGTCGTCACCCCAACTATTAGAAATATTGTCCATATCGAGCAAACGGCGGACCGCATTCTTAAACTCTGTGTAGTCCTCTATTATATGTCTTTCATAGTTGCAATGACACTCACAAGTCTTGCGGGTGTCCCTGATCCCACTTGGGAAGATGCTCTCTCAATGGGCCTCAACATACGCCTAGTCCGTTAGTGCTTGAAAATGAAGGCGCATAAAATGGCTTCCATCCATGTTCAATATTCTTGTGGATATGCTTCGAGAGTGACTTTTTGGTCCCCTTATACCATGCGTCCTTCAAGAGAAGGTTTGCGGGTGATCGTTTCCTCATAACTTTCTTCAATTCTATCAAACTCTGGGCTCTCGGTAGGAAACAATATGTCATATAGGCACTTTCCGTATTGCCTCTGTATGTCGATCATCTCCTCTTCGGTTGGTTAAGTCTGGATTTTCTTTCCATTGTCCACAGTTGTGATCTCATCTTTCCTGAGATGGTAGAGTAGTGTTTTAGAATCTGGAGATAGGATTTCACTTTTTGCCGAGAAACTTAAGACTCGAGAAATTTGGTCGAATATTTAGTAATAGTGACTATTGTATATTTCTCAAAATTTATGATAGGGAGTGGGTTTCCGATGCACTTATTCAAAGAAACATATCACATAAATAGGTAAAAACACATACATCGCGTCCTAATCATGTATGTGGCCATTTGTGCCAAGGTTAGGCCTAGCGATCTGAAGGATGTATTGCATCATTTAAAACAGCTTATTGCACCCACCAAAATATGCTTCACAAATAATTATAGAATTCGTTACAAAGTTTTAATCAAAATGGGATACATTTTGCGGGAAGGGGAATACATTACAAATACAAATTAGAAAACAATCCCACACAAGGGAATCAGAAAGTTGAAGGTCCCGCTCTCCCTCTTGCTTTTTCTGCCTCCTCGCGGAAAATGTACATGCTTGTTACCACGTATGGCTCAGAAAACACAGGTTTTGACGACGGCAGCACGACCCAGAGAGTGCTGATCTGCTCATCCAAGGTTGCATCTAGACGCATCAAACAAGCCCTCACATCGGTTAAATCTTGTGAAATCAGAGCTAAGGCCCTCTGCTTTAAAATTCTCTAGATTGGTATTCTTGCTACCTTCGTTGAAATTCCTATCCTTTGGTCTCATTCCTGCTAAAAATGATATGGGTGGATGTGGACCTCATTTGGACGTCTTCAATTTCTCGACCAATGCGTGGTATCTGGTTCACTACACCACACAAATCATCCTGCAACCATGTTTTGTACTCATCAACATATCCTGCTTCATACCTATTTTCAGCAATATTTCCTTCCATGTTGACCCTCCAGCCCATTCCTGGAAGATGGTTTTTTGCGAAAGGTATTTTAACACACCCATTGTTATCAATGACAAAGGCGTCAGTATCCCTTTGGACAGGTATGATTTGTCTTCTGCCAAATTGCCGCATGATCCTCCTTGGATTGTATGGTCGCATTCCTCTGATCCTGAGAAGGACAAAAAAGAACGTTTGGCCCCCCGAGCCGCTATCTTTTCTAACATGAAGTTTTGAAACATCCAATGTATATGTCTCCTTATCTCAAGTCATAGAATACCTTCGCCCATGCATCCCTCGTGGTGTGAATTGGGAAAATTTGGATGATTAGATAAAGCTCGTAGTTGTCAAGCGGAATCATCTGGGTTGTCTTGGACAACTCCTGTTGCTGTGTGTCGTCTTTTTTACACAAATGTTCCATCATCCACCACTGAATCAAAATGTTTCATCCTTGGAAAAATGGAGATCTATTCTTACTCAAACTCGTAGATTGATAGATGTCCGCCAAAATAATTAGGGTCAAACTGTAGTGTTTCTTTGCTTCTTCTTCTTTACTAATCCCTCTAAATATGACATCTACAACTATCACAATCCTAGTATCAATCTCATTATGTTCATCCAGAAGGAATACCATTGTCCAAAGAGGCATGCAGAGAACGCGATCGTCTGAGTCTGTCTCCAAGTACTATGATTGTAGAACTCGTTCGGAATTTTTTTGAAATAGCTATCATGTTCCCACCTTTCAAAGAATCTCATCAACGATACACTTTTAGTATCCAACCAGTTTGCGTTTACTAATACTAACATGTCCTTCAGTTCTAGACTATTCGGCCTATCTGGTAGCAGGATGTGATGATCTGGATGTTTTTTCCTCTTGCTAGATGTTCCGATGGAATCCAAATAATCTTTTATCTCCTCTATTGTTGGTGTTATTTCGACATCTCCAAATTGGAATATCATCATTTTGTCATTCCAGAACCGTATAATTACCTCGAAAATGTGGGTCAAACCTTGAAGTCCATTATCAAAGATAGGTGTCCCAAGTGAATCGAGATTTCTCTCTTTTGACAGTCGTTGAGGTTGTTCCACCACACACGAAGAATATCGAGCGTCTCGGTGACCATTTTGAAACTTAATAATTGATTTGACATCACAAATACATACAAATAGTTAGTTGTCCCCCCACCCCCACCCCACCCCAAAACACAATAATCCATTAAACACACAAGCATTCTTCAAATAGCATATAAGTATGGTCATCCGATCGAGTTGTGGGCTCTTTGAATTCAGGGCGGTCTCTCTAATGGGCCCAGCACTCTTTGGGTGTTGGGTCATCTTAGGTCAATGCGCTACTTTTGAGATTCGGTTTTGCTCTATCTTAGTTTGACAAGGAGTTGATTTTATGTGTAGTGTAAGGGGTGACCCAAGCGGACCACTTAGGCTGAGACAGTTTATGACCGTTGACTATCAAGTAGCCAACTACATTCATCAGGGTGCCCCTAGAAAGAATTTGGTTAATGAACGACTGCGAACACGCATAATCGTCCTTTAAGTGATAAATAAACCATTGTCGTTTGACTAAGTATGATATGCCATGAAAATGCAACAATTGATATAATACGACAAAGAAAAAAATAGACAGTTATTTCACATAGTCAAATAAATTTAGTTTTAAGGTTAGAATCCTTCAAATCCTCCATCAGAGTCCCCATTTCTATTTTATTTCGGAAAAATATTTTTATATGTATTTGACTTTTTGAGAGACGCCACTTAATTTTTTAAGAAAAATTAAGAAAACTAAGTTTTCAACCAATTTAAACAGAAGCCTTAAAAAAATTAAAAGGGCGTTCAGAAACTCATATTTATATTTTAGGAAGGTTTTTAACTAAAATATTCACTAACTTGCGATTATCCGACAACTAACTTGTTTGACTAACAATTTAAGTTTATTTGAATTAAATTTTATTTAGAGTTTGCTAAAATGAAATATCAGCCTACTATCTAAGTGAAATCTTTGGTAAGTCGTAAAATTTATGTATTATTATTTAAATCCAATTATACTTAATTGATTTAGTTTTGAATTGTTAAAAAGTAGCTTCTTGTGGGAATTTGCATCTATTAACCCTAATACTAACGACAATCAACAACAAAGTAAATGAGCGACTAAAGCAAGAGAGAGAGAGTTGGATCCAAATCCAGTTTCTGTTTGTCTGGACCGGTATTTGGACCCCAATTGTTTTTTGGTTTTTGGCCAATTTCACTTTAGTACTTGTCTATAATTCTAACAAAACACTAATGACAAAAGATAAGGTCTTAGACCCAAAAATACAAAGTGCAACACTAAAAAACTGTTAGGCCTAATTCTTCAACTTCTTGATCTGGTCCGTATACTTTCAATTTTGGGACCTGTTTGCCGATTTATGGGATTTGTTCTTCGATTCTCAAAGAGTAGGCTTGACTCAAAGAATGCGTAATGGGGCCTCCGAGGCAAAAATAGAAAAATGCATAAGATGCAGAGTTCACGGAGACTCAAAATGGGTGTCACATGAAAACAAATATAACGGAGATATAAGTAAGAACTGAATTGTTTAATATAAAATAGAAATATACGATAAATACTACTATTTGACTATCACCAGAAGCAACACACAATTTTAACTAATTAATTTCGAGGTCAAAGCTAATTCCAAGGTCCCTAAAAATAAGATCATACTTAGTAAGACACAAAATTAAGAAAATAAACTTAGCTTCTAATACCAAGTATTATCAACTAACCATGAGTTTCTAGCATATAATAGCACCATTTTCAAAGCAAAAAGTTTTCAACACTAGTTGGAAAACAAATATACGATAATGATAACAGTAATAACTTCACTATAGTGGCTTTAACAAAGAGCAGAAATCTTAGCATGTGTGCTTAAAAAATAAAAAAAAATAAAAATGGAAGGGTCATCAGGCAACCAAACTTACTACTGATTATGAACCTTAAAGCATCAAACAAACTTAACAGGAGAATTTAATGAAGAAACAGTGTACTAATTTTAACAATTAGAGAAGCATGCTAAAAAAGTGAAGCTGAAAGAATGGACACTCTCACAATGTTGCAACTCACAATCTATCGAAGTAACAAGCTAGAAGCTCGTATAAGGTTTGCAGAAAAATCTAATAGGCAAAGAAGACAGATTCATTTTATCCCAAAGGAGTAAACACAAAATGAGAACAAATATGGACTATGACATGTTATATGCGGCCCGTATCCAAGGAAAGTATCCAAGGAAAAGTAGCGCGAATTTACTTGAGGTATTTTAAACCAACCAAGATCAAAATTGTATACCATAGTTTTGAAAAAAAATATTCAAACCAGACCTGGACATCATCTAAATAACTATAGGCAAAATCAAGTATATGAATGATAAACGGATATAAATAATGACCCACTCACATAACACATGGAGATATGCTAAGAACACATTATTAATTTTATCCAAATAAAAATAGCATCCGCATGACACTATAAAGAACCACAAAAGAAAATATTCTATCACAAGACGAATACAAGGGTGAAGGTTAACATCAATGATGACCAAAGTTTTAGGTTTTTGACCATTAAACAACACCAAAACAAACCTATACCTAGAAATAAAAGAAGATGATAACATTCACAGACGATCATTTTTTTTTGCAAAGCCAAAACAGTGAACAATAAATAATCTGTAACGCCAAGTGAGTCATTTTCTTCCCACGACAAGACATAAACAGATTTTTGGCCATACATTTGAAGAACACCAACTAATAATTCCAAATCATATTCAACAACAGCTAGATTTACCATAACAAGTTTGTTGGTAAACTGACTTTACTTAGAAGAAGAAGAAGAAGAAGAAAGGAAGAAGAGTAGAGGAAAAAATGTCCAGATTCATTCTCATACAAAACTGTTAAACCATACATAGATGATGAAGCTATATATATTGATACAACTCTCATCTAGAATATTCTGTAAACTAACTATAGGATTAGGTAGTTGTAACTAACTAACATGTAAATGACTATATTACCTTTCTTATTCTTTAATAGACTTCTAACTACCTTAACTAATTTCTACTTGAACATATCATCTTCATACTTCAACACTCCCCTTCAAGATGGGAGGGGAAAAAATGTTTAACACTACAAGCTTGGATAGAAGATGATTGTGTTGTAATTGGACAAACCCTTAGTATAAGCATCAGAAGGTTGTTCCTTGGTATGAACATAATCCACTTTGATCAAACCTTGTTGTAACTTCTCTCTTATAAAGTGACAATCAATTTCAATATGGTTTGTTCTTTCATGATAGACTGGATTTGCTGCTATTTGAATAGCAATCTTGCTGTCACTATATATTTTTGCTGGAAACTGAACATTGATACCTATTTCTTTCATCAAGCCATAACCATATTAGTTCTGAAACAGTTGCAGTCATGCTTCTGTACTCAGCTTCAACTGAGCTTCTAGATACAATAGTTTGTTTCTAAGACTTCCAACATACTTATGATTTGCCAATCTTCACCATATACTCTGTGATAGACTTTCTAGTTATTGAGCATGAAGTCCAATCAGCATCACAATATGCAGTTACTAGATCATTTGAGTTACTTGATAACAGAAAACCTTGTTCAGGTTGTTGCTTTAGATATCTGACCACCTATGCAGCATCCATGTGAGATTTGTTTGGTTTTTGCAAGAATTAACTTAGATTTTGTGCAATAAATGATATATCAGGTCTTATCATATTCAAGTATAACAACTTACCTATCTCTCTTTGGTACTTGGTCTGATCTATCAAAGGATCATCAACAACTTCTGCTTGTTGTTGATTTATATGATCATCATACTATTTGGAAGTAAGATTGACATTCATGTTAATAGGTGTGACTGCAGGTCTAACTGTTGTCATACCAATCTCAGAAATTAACTCAAGAGTATACTTCCTCTGATGAATTAGGATACCATTAGCATATCTAGTGAACTCAATGCCCAAATATTATTTTAGTTCCCCTAAATCTTTCATTTTGAATGATTGTTGCAAGACCCTCTTTGTGTCCTCTATTAATTAGCTTCAAGCTTCTTCCAGTTACAAGCATATCATCCACATATACAAGTACCGAAATGATTCCCTATTTTGAGTTGTTAATAAACAGTGAATAATCAGTTTGACTCTGTTTGAACTGTAGTTTAATAAGAGCCTCAGTCAGCTTATGGTTCCACTGTCTAGTTGACATGTAAAATTAGGTCTTAGACCTAACTCACACTCCAAAAGCTAGCTAAAATGGAGGAGGATTGTCCAAGCCTTATGAGGATTTCACCCACCTCATTAACCACCGATGTGAAACTTTTGTGATTCTTTGATACCTCACCTCACGCCCAGTGCTTAACATTTGGTGCATTTGATTTGGAGGCCCAACATCTCATGAGACGGGACCTGCTCTGGTACTATTTTGGTAAACTGACTTTACTTAGATGAAGAAGAAAAAGAAGAAGAAAGGAAGAAGAGTAGAGGGGAAAATGTCCAGATTCATTTATCATACAAAACTGTTAAACCATACATAGATGATAAAGCTATATATATAGATACAACTCTCATTTAGAATATTGTGTAAACTAACTATAAGATTAGTTAGTTGTAACTAACTAACATGTAAATGACTATATTACCCTTCTTATTCTTTAATAGACTTCTACCTACTTTAACTAACTTCTACTTGAACACTTCATCTTCATACTTCAACAAAGATACATTCGGCACCATTCAAACCCATGAAGGAACCATAATTAATAAATTTAAAAAAAGAAGAACATAACAATATCATGACTACCCAACAGAACAAACTAGAGTGCGAGGCGAGCATAATGATCACAAAAACCAAAGAAAACAAATAGAAATACGATCTTAATCCTAATCATCAAATCACTTTTGAGACCAAAATCTTCACTACTAAGTAGGTGTTGTTTACCTTCTTGTGGGCAGCGAAACAGGGACAACGAGCTGAGAAATCGCCTTCAACAACCACAACAAAATTCTGACTCGAGCAGCGATCAAGAAATCCAAATAGACTATCAAACTCAAACAAAATCAGTTCCCTTCTGATTCTTTTATATATATTCAGTATGTATTATACTATCTTTGCGTAAAATGCTCTAGGTATTTGCTCTAAGGATTTCCAACTAAAATCCCCAACCCTTTTTTTCCGACCAAATTCTCTCCCTTTTTTTTAAAGAAAAACCCCTCCCCCTGAAGCCATCATGAAGAGATCTTATATAGCAAAAGAATTAGGGCTACACTTTAGGTGGAAAGAGCGAGGACAAAGTGTAATTTCTGAAGAGAAATTGGGAGCAAAATCAAGATTCACCTTAATTTCGAAATTCAAATCCTCGTTCCCAGATCGAGAGAAAGTGGTTCTTGTACCATGAAGTCACCATTTTTGGCAAGATCAAAAGCAAAAAGTGATGCGAACGATTCGGATGAGTTTCTCGCCCTTGAAGCTCGAAGTGGCATCATCTCTCGCCTTCAAAGACCAGCAACGATGACTAGGCGCTGTTGTGAGGACGATTTTGCAGGTGCTTTTATCTTCTCTATTGTACGAGCAACTGGCGAGGAAGACAACCCCAACCACACGGTTTGGGGTCGTGTCTCGATCATTGTTCTTGATGGAGCGACTCCCTTCTAACTTTTCAGCGCATGGAGGAGAAGACGACCCTGGGGTCGCTGTCTTTTGCTACAGCACGCGTTTAGGAACGCTTCAACGATGTTTACGGTGTAGGATCTCTCTTTGTGAAAGGAAAGCTTGAGCCGGGTCGAGGTTTAAAGGGGAATTTGGGTTGGGCCTGGGAATTGGAGCAAACATTTTGGATAAACAAATTGGGTCTGAGATTTTATTAGAGTGGATGGGCTGGAAGTTTCAAGTAAATGGCTGATGCAATTTGGCCAAAAATTTGCATTTTTGATGGGTTTATGGAAATGAGTTATGTTTTGGATTTTAGGAACTAGTCAAATTTAATTTAATTTATGGAATTTGACAAAAATTTAGATTAGATGAATTAATCAATTAATTAACGAGCTTCTAATTTTAACAAGGTAAAATATCTAACTCAATTATAAATCAAGGACTCAAAACATAAGATACTAATTCAGACAAAATTAATTTTTTAAGTAAAACTAAAATAATTTTAGACGATTTTTGAATATTTAATAAAATAAACTAATCATACAAGAACATATAAAAATATATCGCTTCAAAACTATAAAAATCGACTAAAGCTACTTTAAAATGACTTGAAAAGCATTCAAATCTTATAAAGTGGACTATTTCAACTCATTCAAAATTTAAGAAACTCGTGAATTAATTCCTATCAAGGTGGGTCAAAAGTTGGGTGTCAACACCTAGAATTCAGTCAAATTTTCAGCTTCTCTATAAATAGTTCAGGGTTGCTCAATCTTAGGGTTTCATTGTAATTTAGATGTTTAGTTTCTATGATATGTTTCTTGGAGAATTAGTTTAATCTCATGTATAAAACTCTGAAACTGTATCTTGTGTTAATTATCCATATTTCAGGAATTATATTTGCTAGGACGATTAGTCAGACAATCATGCTTTATAATTTGAAAGCCATATCTATTAGTATTTGAATGATGCGTTTTCAGAGAAATAAGTATTTTGAGCTATCAAGTATTATAAATGTATTTTTAGCTGTATATTCAATTGAGAGTAATCTTATCACTGATTCGAACTAGGGTTCAGCGTACCCTCACGTTTCGAAACTGCGTGTCATTTGTAGTTTTATAAGTACCCTCTATCAGACATTTGGTTTTGGTGATCATGTCACAATCATCCCTTTATACCCTGACAATGTATTATATGATCATCTTGATGGGGCGTATACACCGAACTTCACGTTTAGCTCACGTGGTTTAGTCAGTTGATAGTATCTACCATAGTAAGATTTATGTTGCATTGACCATGTATTTAATATTGATTTTCGTATTCAATTCAACATATTATATATGCATGGTTAGTACATGGTCATTGTATCTAGCTCAGATTTCAGTTATGCTTTAGTATATCTATTTCCATGTTCAGTTTTTATATTGTTCAGTTTAACATATATCCCGAAAGTTTAGTATCCTTAATGTACTGACGCATACTTTTGCGTTACATCTTTGTATGATATAGATTCAAGAGCTCAACATGTAGACCACACTTAGCTCGACTTTTCTGTATGGTGAAACCTTATAGTTCGAGAACTATAGCTAGACATGCTTTAGTTTTCAGTATTCACTTTTCATTTTCAGACTTGTTAGAATTAGTTGGGCGCATATCCCAACAACTCAAATTAGTTAGAGGCTTTCGGACATCACTTGAGTCTGTGGTTTTTCCATTTAGAACTATACTCTTCATATATTTTATTTATTCAGACATGTTGGACTTTAGGCTTATTTCATATATTAAATTTTTTCTACCTTCCGCACATTGCATGTTTAAGTGAATTTGTAGCGATTTGTCATGTCATGGGTTAGCTTGGGTCACTTGTGACACTAAGCACCGTGTTGCGTCTAGAAAGTAGCCTAGGGGGGTGAAAATTAGATTCACGATACGAACTAATCTATATTCTTATCGATAAACATAAGTAAGAGTTTATTCATAGTTTAATTTGCCAAGATAGGGTTTCTCTTTTTTCATGAATGTGTGAGGAAACCTCAGTACTATTACTATATGGGTTGTTTGGTAAGATGAATTTGAAACATAATGCATGCATTAACTTTATGTCCTATTAATTTTTGTTTTGTATACTTTTTCAATCAAGTACACCCTATTTGGTATCATATATTATGCATGACCAATACATGAAAAATCATTTTATTATCAATGCAAGGAGCTTTAATGAATGCATTAACATGGTTAAAAATATAATTTTCCCTCAAAAACTTTTTCATCGTATTTGTGGAGGATATTTTGTAAGCAAATATTTCCTTAGAAGTTATGCAATGCATGTTATTTTTAATAGAACAAACCATATACTCTATGAAAACACTCTCAGCATAACTAATACAAACATAATTAAATACCAACATTACTAACGCATCACACTACCACACGACCTCTTAATACTTTATTTGATACCATTTTCAACCTACGGACGCATTAATTATACACTCTTATTTGGTATTATCCTATGTATAACTAATAAATGAAAAATCATGGTATTATCACACAAGGAGTTTATGCATATATTAGAATTATTAATAAGAGAAACTTAAAAAACTGACTATAGTTTTAGGGTTATTGGATTAGAATAGCTATAATTATTATATTTACCCATAATAGCTATAATTTTTGTCTAAATCTTATCGTATTCAAAGTATTTATAGATTTTTTATAAAAAAAATACAATAATACAGTTTAAAATATAATGCACTAAATAAGGGTTTTTATTTGTTATTAAAAGTATACACTAAAATAGAAAAAATAACTAATAATCACTTAGTGGGACTTGACTGGATATAACAAACTCCAACAACTCTGTCTTTCAAAATTATGCCGAGTAACCTTTCTAAAGTATGTAGAACTCTAAATGAATATTTGTTAGATACTGTGTACACTAAAATAAGAAAATAACTAATATTAGGATTTGACGACAAATTTCCAACCAACACTTCTCTGTATTTCAAAATTATGGCGAGTAGCTTCTTTTTTTTGGAAGTAACATCTAAACAAACGAGACATAATAATAAAAATATATAGTTAACTCGCTCTTAGAAAGCCTTTTACTGTCAGCAATTTGTAGTAGATTATATAAGAGACATCAATTTTTTTAATTTTCTTCGCACCTTCATAATTAGTTTATTTTCTTAACCAGACCATCTTTCTAGAATATGCTATACATCAATCTCATATCACTCCTATTGCAAACTTATGACATTATAACTTAGTATCGCATTCGAACACTTGAGTTACTCATCATCATTGGAGATTAATTAACATGCTATTCCAACTTCATGTTGGAGATTAAGTTGCAGTGTATGTGTACTCTGTTAAGTGAATGAACTAAAACTGCAAATCTAAATTTAGTTGAATTTCAAAATGTACTCAACGATTAGTTCTAGGATCAAAATAAATTAAGGCAATAAAACTATGTTATGAAGTTGATATATGTTGAATGTCAAAAATTATAAGACACATTCTACAAGTATTTTGAGCCTCTCATTAGAGAGATTAATCACCTTTCCATTAAACATAATTAATTACACATGGATATCTCTCTCAAAGTAGTGAAAAGGACACCAAGGCCAATTTCTTGTGTCTTGCATGTGTTTTCCAAGAAGAGTGTAACTGACCAGGAGTGCCACCTTCTTTTTTTTTTCCTACCATAAAACCCTTGTGTAAATTGATTGAAGTTTTGTGGTATGTTGAAAATCGACTCTGAACTGTTTTGCCCAATCTTGAAAAATACTATTAACAAGATGATATGAGTTATATATACTCATGAGCATGACTAATTAATTTATTGATGATAATTTGGAGATAAATTAAAGAAAGAAAATATGCCTCTATGATCCTTTATTATTGTTTGAATCAATTGTTTCTTTCCCAAATGGTTGGTATCTTGTGATTGTCCTATTAGGTGACCTTCTTGTAGGACCTCCATTGCTACCACTGCTAATTCCATTTTCTTGACTAATCATCAACTTATACTTGATGAAGTGACTTACTAATTTCTCAAAAGTTAGAATTTGTGACATATCATTAGTCTACGGTTCTCTCCTTCTTTCCAAGAATCAATTGAAGTTCTCAAAGGCTGATAAATGATGAACTTTGATTTCAAGGATGCCTCTCTTTCGAATTTCTCCAAAATTAGGATTTCTGGCAGAGGTTGTTGGAGGATCATGTCATTTGTAGTTTCACCTTGATTCTCCATAACAACAGGCATAGGGATAAAGGTTTTAGTATTTTCTTGATTTATCGCATTAGTGCTTGCTCCACCGTCTTCTTGAAACATAGAGAGATTTTTCAATCCATGTAATATATGTACAATAATGAATAGTCATCATTGTCATCAAGGATAATCGGATAAATTATCCTCGAAGAATTCTTATTCGATGTTGAATTGCTAGAGATGTTGGTAGTGGTCATAGTTTGTTGCTCCTCAAGAACAACATTAGGTAATTGTGAAATAATGGTGGCGTCCACATGATGCTCTTGAGTCATATCAAATATTTTCGAAAACTCTGCTTCTTCACCAATATCAAATTCATTGTCCCATGGTATATATAGTAGATGAATAAAGATCTTGATAATTAATATTATCCATGTAACTATTTGAAACTTCATCCATGTTTACCAGCCTATATAAAATTTTCCCCTGTAAATTTAGTTATATAATGAGACACTTCTAATTTTAATTTATGCATATTCCATATTTGGAAGAAATTTTAAAATGAACATATCTAGATGGGATGGTTTACTGAATTGTTTTTGTAGATATTAAAACCAAAATAGGAAAAATAACCAATAATCACTTTTTAGGACTTGATTGGATAGGGGAAAACTCCAATCAGTACTCCTTGTGTTTCAAAATTATGTCTCGTTACTTTTTCTCATAAATAAGTGATGATTTCTAAATGATTTCTCTGTTGATATTATATACTAAAATAGAACAAATAACTAATAATCACTTAGTAGGATTTGACTGAATATGACAGATCTCCAATCAGTATTTCAAAACCATGCCGAGTAATTACTTCTTTTCTCAAATACATGATGGTTTCTAAACAATTTGTCTATAGATATTATA